TGAAATTTCATCAACGAAGCTGTAACGGTACTCAAGTTATCGTGTTTACACACGGACAGACAGACAGACAGACAGACACACAGACACACAGACAGACACACAGACATACGGACAAGATTGCAAAATTATGTTTTTCCGTATCAGTGAGGTGTAAAACGTCGAGATTTGTAAAAATCTCGATTTTTTTTTTTGCACGATTACAAGACTTTCTCTATAGCCTACTTCGTATATACGAGAAAGTAAAAATGGTGAGATTTTTTTTTCTAGATTGGTATAATGCTAAATCATTCGTTTAGACAGTTCGAGCTCTTTAAATTGACGTACGTGGTTGGGGTGACCTTTATGTGACGCATTTTAAACAGTTCATACTTCGACACGCGAGTGAATTCGATGCAGCAAAACAGTAGCGATCAATGAATGCTTATGATACGTATTCAAGTTTAAAGCGCAATTCTTAGGTTGAGCTTTGAAATAGCGCCAGCAGCTCATACAATTGTGACCAAGGTTTTTCCTTTCCGTTTTTTTTGTTTGGCCGAAACAAATTGTAATCGATTTTTTTTCTAACGGTCTAATATGCTGTTTCACTCTCCACGGGAACCTGGGAGGGAGAAAAAAAATCTTTGAAACAACACGCCCATCTCCAGACTGACCTTTCTGCTCATCAGGCCATCCTTCTCTAATTCATTTAGAACAGCTCTCTCTCAATTCAATTTCAGGATCATTTTCTTAAAACCTCTGTCCCAATACCTTCAATACTTGGCCACATTTTCTTAAAACCTGTCCCAATACCTTCAATACTTGGCCACATTTTCTTAAAACCTGTCCCAATACCTTCAATACTTGGCCACATTTTCTTAAAACCTCTGTCACAATACCTTCAATACTTGGCCACATTTTCTTAAAACCTCTGTCCCAATACCTTCAATACTTGGCCAACTTTTTTAAAACCTCTGTCACAATACCTTCAATACTTGGCCAACATTTTTTTAAAACCTCTGTCCCAATACCTTCAATACTTGGCCAACTCTTTTTTTGGAAAACAAATTATTCTTGACCTGAGTACTAAAGCCAGTCCCAATAATCAGATTATTATGAAATAATCAGATTATTTCACAGAGTGATGAATCATTTGCTACATATAGTGTTTAAAGATATTGTGTTTATAGGTCTTTCTTTAGGAGCTTCAATTTAGTTCTTAAAAAAATTCCATGGGCATTTCAGACAGGTTCCATTTTTTTTAAAATGTTTTTTTTTATATTTCTACTAAACTGATTTGAATTACTTTTTTCTATATTATCTATGAAGTGGTCGACAGATAAGTTAGAAATTAGGCAGAAGTTTTAAGACCCACTACACTACATCCACAGTAAGATGATAATTACATCCAAATGTCCGTCATTCTTTGAAAAAAAACACACACACACAACAACAGAGGTTTAGGTGTTAATTAATTTATTTCAATTAAAAACAAAACACTCGACTACATTGTCGACCAGGAATGTGTAAATAATGAATGAGAAATACAGATGTTCGTAATGTGTTTTACAAGCTATTGGTCAAATGTTCGTAATGTGTTTTACAAGCTATTGGTCAAATGTTCGTAATGTGTTTTACAAGCTATTGGTCAAATGTTCGTAATGTGTTTTAAAAGCTGTTGGTCAAATGTCAAATAGGCGGTTAGAGATGCTTTAACCACATACGATTTGACCACAACAGACCACATGTGGTTTAACTATAGTGGGGGAATTGACCACAGGGTATTTAACCACAGTGGGGAATTGACCACAGGGTATTTAACCACAGTGGGGAATTGACCACAGGGTATTTAACCACAGTGGGGAATTGACCACAGGGTATTTAACCACAGTGGGGAATTGACCACAGGGTATTTAACCACAGTGGGGAATTGACCACAGGGTATTTAACCACAGTGGGGAATTGACCACAGGGTATTTAACCACAGTGGGGAATTGACCACGGGTGGTTTGACCACAGCTGAATATTGATCACATCAACTTAGTCTGTTGATGGTTTTTACACTTTAAAAAAATAATAAACTGTTATTTAGTTTTAATTAATTTAGCAATTAATACAATTAATGATCACAATTTTCATTTGAGTTCCTATCTTCTGAAAATGTCAATACCAATAATGTTTTGGTTGATAGCACGTTAAAGAGAAATCTAGCTTGTAGGGTTCGCTGTGACCACAGAATTGATGAGCTCGTGTGTAAATGTGTTGGAAGTATGTGTCAAAATGGGTTGGAAGTATTTGTGTAAATGTGTTGGAAGTATTTGTGTAAATGTGTTGGAAGTATTTGTGTAAATGTGTTGGAAGTTTGTTAATACCTGTCACTACCTTATCACTACCTTGTTGTAGTGGTTCATTGCTGGCATGGGGTCTAACAACACTTGAAACGATTGTGTAACACCTCGGACTGTTACATGAGACAAGACAACGAACAGCGATACGTATATCGTAACTTGTTTCATACTCCACTTTCAGCCCAGCCTAATGGACCTTACGGATGGCCGGCCAAGATGGAGGCAGCAGCCTGTTACACGGGCATCAAGAAATGTTCATAATAATTGTTTGATCCATGTTTAGTTGGGACAAAGCACCTGTGGTCAAACCACCTGTGGTCAAACCACCTGTGGTCAAACCACCTGTGGCCAAACCACCTGTAATCAAACCACCTATGGTCAAACCACCTCTGGTCAAACCACCTGTGATCAAAGCACCTGTGGTCAAACCACCTGTGGTCAAAACACCTGTGGTCAAAACACCTGTGGTCAAAGCTCCGCGTACCCACTGTGCGTGTCTGTCAATATTTGAAAGCATTTAGAGACCAATAGGTGGATGACATAAAAATATATCTTCAACTGCAATAAGGATAAATAGGAAATGTAGGATATGTAGGGCTGATGTAGGACATGTAGGACTGATATAGGACATGTAGGACTGATGTAGGACAGATGTAGGACTGATGTAGGACTGATGAAGGACTGATGTAGGACTGATGTAGGACTGATGTAGGACTGATGTAGGACTGATGTAGGACTGATGTAGGACGTAGGGCTGATGTAGGACTGATGTAGGACTGGTGTAGGACTGATGTAGGACTGATGTAGGACTGATGTAGGACTGATGTAGGACTGATGTAGGACTGATGTAGGACATGTAGGACTGATGTAGGACTGATGTAGGACTGATGTAGGACTGATGTAGGACTGATGTAGGACTAATGTAGGACATGTAGGCCTGATATAGGACTGATATAGGACTGATGTAGGGCTGATGTAGTACTGATGTAGGACATGTAGGACTGATGTAGGACTGATGTAGAACAGATGTAGGACTGATGTAGGACTGATGTAGGACTGATGTAGGACATGTAGGGCTGATGTAGGACTGATGTAGGGCTGATGTAGGGCTGATGTAGGACATGTAGGACATGTAGGACTGATGTAGGACATGTAGGGCTGAAGTAGGACTGATGTAGGACATGTAGGACTGATGTAGGACTGATGTAGGACATGTAGGACTGATGTAGGACTGATGTAGGACTGGTGTAGGACTGATGTAGGACTGATGTAGGACTGATGTAGGACTGATGTAGGACTGATGTAGGACATGTAGGACTGATGTAGGACTGATGTAGGACTGATGTAGGACATGTAGGACTGATGTAGGACATGTAGGGCTGAAGTAGGACTGATGTAGGACATGTAGGACTGATGTAGGACTGATGTAGGACATGTAGGACTGATGTAGGACTGATGTAGGACTGGTGTACGACTGATGTAGGACTGATGTAGGACTGATGTAGGACTGATGTAGGACTGATGTAGGACATGTATGACTGATGTAGGACATGTAGGACTGATGTAGGGCTGATGTAGGACTAATGTAGGACATGTAGGACTGATGTAGGACATGTAGGGCTGATGTAGGACTGATGTAGGACTGATGTAGGACATGTAGGACTGATGTAGGACATGTAGGGCTGATGTAGGACTGATGTAGGACATGTAGGACTGATGTAGGGCTGATGTAGGACTAATGTACCAGCGAGACTGAGGTTATCCACCTTCAATGTTAACATGTCCTATGAACGTATGTTAACAGAATGATGCCAATAATTCAAGCTAATATATACAAACTATAAATCACATCAAGAGGTGGCAAGTGTTTTAGTTTTGTTAAATAAAACAAAGTATTTCATAACTTCAAGTTTGTACAATTTTCATGTCTTTTTTTTTTTACAGAGCTAGTATTAGTGACGTCAACTTATGTATTTGTCCACATACCCTTACATGCTCTCATACTTAAATACCCGCAGGTAATTAAAAAAAATCACACACAACACACTTACAAACATTCACATACACACACACACACATACACACACATATACACACACACACACACACATATATATATATATATATATATATATATATATATATATATATATATATATATATATATATACAAAGACATTGTATTGAAACATGCTTGTAAAAATCCACAAAAATTGGCACCAAGACTGTTATTGCTCTATATTCACCAGTACACATAACATGATATTATATGATTTTCTGTTCATTCAAATTAAATTCTTCAAATAAACAAACAACAACAGCAAGAACAATAGAATACATTCAGTGAAGGTCATTGTGTGCCTCCAGCAAAACAAAAGTATTTCACAATCTATAGCTGGTATCAGTTTTCTCTGCTGTTGTCTAGTAAAAGTTTATTTCTAGATGCATTTCTATATGAAACCGAGAACCTCACACAGGAATACAGGAAAACCATGACCTCACACAGGACTACAGGAAAACCATGACCTCACACAGAACTACAGGAAAACCATGACCTCACACAGGACTAGAGGAAAACCATGACCTCACACAGGACTAGAGGAAAACCATGACCTCACACAGGACTAGAGGAAAACCATGACCTCACACAGGACTAGAGGAAAACCATGACCTCACACAGGACTAGAGGAAAACCATGACCTCACACAGGACTACAGGAAAACCATGACCTCACACAGGACTACAGGAAAACCATGACCTCACACAGGACTACAGGAAAACCATGACCTCACACAGGACTACAGGAAAACCATGACCTCACACAGGACTACAGGAAAACCATGACCTCACACTGGACTACAGGAAAACCATGACCTCACACAGGACTACAGGAAAACCATGACCTCACACAGGACTACAGGAGAACCATGACCTCACACAGGTCTACAGGAAAACCATGACCTCACACAGGACTACAGGAAAACCATGACCTCACATAGGAAAACCATGACCTCACACAGGACTAGAGGAAAACCATGACCTCACACAGGACCAGACTCTCGTACGTGTCTGACCGTGTCTGGAGTTGGATTATGACGTACCTGTGGAAAACAATTTTCAGATCTTAATTTAGTGGCTGGCAGGCTAACGACAGGGGCTAAAGTCACAGGCTAAAGTCACAGGCTAAAGTCACAGGCTAAAGCCACAGGCTAAAGTAACAGGCTAAAGTCACAGGCTAAAGTAGGAGGATTAAGTTAGAGGCTAATGACAGATGAGTACAAGATATGTTGTTCTAAAGCCCGATTTTTAGATAATTAAAATTTTGAATCATTGTGATAAACAGGTGACATTTATAGCTACAGTAAGCTGATCGCATGTGCTGTTTCATACATTATTAGATTCTTTCTTGTTTCTTTTTATCTAGCCAAAATAAAATAACTAGAATAATTAAATCTAATTCAGGGGAGATAATTAGTTTAAGCAGTGTAAGTTGAGCAGATGAGAACCCTGTATACTGTGGTACGTGAATTTGATGGTGTGATCAAGAGATGAAACAGTCACGTTCATGGCCACACTGAAAGTTCTGGGAATCCATTCAATGCTGCGCCATCTACATCTCAATGGCTGCCGGTTTTAAAGGGAGATTAATCTATAATCATTACTCCGTCTTACTTTCTATTGTTTCCTATCTTTATTTATAACTTTGACAGAACAAAAAACACAATAGCAGAATGTCTAGAACGTAGACATTATTTATTCTTAAAACTAGCTGTCGGTACCCGTAACATATGAACTATAGGCTTATATTATGTTATACTTGTTTGAGAAAAATATTTTTATTAAAACGCTATGTGCTTTACTACACGCTAAAATATTTGTGACAAAGCAAAGATATAACTTAATAGTTAAAAATCCGACACATTTAAAATAACATAGGCTACCAATACCTATTAGAAAAATTAAACCAAATTATATAGCCTACATTATTAGTCAACACAACACTTGGTTGTGCACTGGGTTGTGCAATTGCAGCGAGTGTAGCCTTGGCCGCCGGTCAATGATTGTGAACAGTGGCGTAGCCAGGATCGTCTCATGGGGGGGGGGGGGGGGGTTAAATTTTTTTCCGCATTATAAATGTATATATCAGAGGCGTAGCGTCCCTCCCAGGCCCCCGAGGACAAACTTTTCATTTGCGTCCCCCCCCCTCAAACTTTTGCACCCCCCCCCCCTCAAACTTTTCATTTGCACCCCCTATTAGACTTTCGCTCAACCTTTATGTATCTACCGAGGGGTCTATGGGGGGGGGGGGGTCTGACCCCCCTAACCAACCCCCCCCCCCCCGGCTACGCCACTGATTGTGAAGATGCGATGGTTGTAGCCCATCTACTAACATGGATTTACATTTTTTTTTTCTTTTGACAGCCATCTGGTATGTCTGTCTCTTGATCTGACGGTCCTTTTAGTCCATGTCGCATTGCATAAAGAATGCTATCCAAACAAGAGCCAAACAATACGTTACTCACAATGAAACTGCACCCAGTATAATGAAAAGGCGATCACAACTTAGTCTAGATAGGACCTGGGCCAGGACATCCCGGCCAGTGTGCACAATGGCCGACCAATGTACGTAATACGCTCTTAGTCCTAAGTTCTTCGGGCTTTGGCCAAGAGAGCCGGCCAATGCGTACATTTGCCGGCCAATGCGGGCTTTGACCGTAACATATATAATACTTGTAAATTTGGATGCTAAGGGTCGCTTCGTTTGACCATAAGAGAATGGTTTTAGGCGAAACAGAAAAAAATTAACGAGAGAAATAAAATGTTGGTGTAATATTACTGTAATAACCTCCCCCCCCCCCTAACACCATACCCACCCCAACACACATTACCTCATGTCTAGACGCCCCAACATACCCACCCCAACATAGATGAACTTATGTCTATGATACTGGAAGCTATTATTTTATCATTGACGCCCCAACATACCCACCCCAACACATTGACCTTATGCCTATGAAACTGGAAGCTATTATTTTATCCTTGAAAAAATTCCTACGGCGAGAATGTGACCCCAATTCCACGTCATCGGAAACCTTTGAAGCAACAGCCAATTTCCGAATTCAATCAAACACAACTCATCGATTTTGGCATGAAAGGAAATGTTTTTGGCGTGTGCATGCCGTCTCGTTAACCGATAGGGGGTTTCCTGTGGGGTGGGGGAGTTTTCTTGTAGGCTGGGGTTTTCCTGCAGGTGGGGTGGGGGAGGTGTTCTGTAGGGTTGTGTTTTCCTGTATTGCTGGGGATTTCTCCTGCAGGGTGGGGGGGGGGGTTCCTGTGGGGTGGGGGAGGGGGTTCTGTAGGGTTGTGTTTTCCTGTATTGCTGGGGAGGTCTCCTGCAGGGTGGGGTGGGGGAGGGGGTTCCTGCAGGGTGTGGGGGGGGGGGGGGTCCTGTGGGGTTGAGGAGGTGTTCTGTGTTACCTTTGTGTTCCATAGAAGGTTTGGATGACATATGTTGACCATGTAACATACATGTTAGTTTTATCTTCCATGTTCACCCTCAATGTACCAACACAAGATGCACCAACACCACCCCACCCCCTCTCTTTAGAGCCACTCACCTGCCCTGTAGAGGAGGATCACAGGCGACCCTTGCCTCCGTGAGTTTGGCCTCCTCCCCCAGCTGACCACACCTCTGTGTCTCCGTGGTCACGTTACTCAGTGGGCTGACGTACACTTGGATATCATGTAGCTCTGGTGATATGGGTGTAACATCATGTAACAGATTTTTTTACACACATGACTAGTGCAGACATATTGACACAAGCCTGGACGTGACATAATGTCACGCTCGACTGGACGTGACATGAGTTGACTAGTGCACATAATGTCATGCTTGACTGGACGTGACGATATACACCCCCTGAAAATTGCCTTTTAGTGGTCACAAGCTAATGATCCGGTTTTATAGCAAATATTTTAGTCCTATGTGGTGTCCATTTCACGAGGAGTGAATTAGTAAAAAGAATAAAAGAAAGAAGAATAAAAAGAAAAAAGAATAATTTGAAAACGGTATAATTAGCTATCAAATGCACTAAATAAACAGAAATAAAAAGTCTTTCAGTTCTTTAATACGTTATTTTAAAAAATGTTTTGTATTTAAGAACGAATTTTAAATTATTTTATGTGCATTTAAGAGCTTACAATTATAAAAAATTATATTTGTTTTATGGTATTGCCTACATACTGTGTACACATATATTATTGCCTACTTACTGTTGACACTGCTGCCTAGAATGCGGACACTCCTCACAACCTTGACAGACTGCAAGTCAACAAACCAAACAGGCGACCGCTCTAGACCTGTCAATTAACCAGACATTGATAGGTTTATGATTGGTCAATATGTAAAGCTTGCTTGTTGTACCTGAGTTTGTCATTGGTCAGTATTAATGCTTGTTGTACCTGAGTTTGTCATTGGTCAGTATTAAAGCATATATTGAACACTCTATTGGCAACGCTTTTATTTCGCTAACCAACACAAAAATGTCCTTAAATTCCAAGTCTTGTCGTACAACTGAAAGCTATTTTTGACAAAAAAAGGTCAGCAATTGACCAGACGCAATTTTCTTCTATTGTTTGTAATACGCCAGCCCTATTACTAATTAAAAACAATTGTCAGTATGGAAATTGCGCTAAAAATATGCTTATATTAAGAGGTGTATGCTACTCTATTTAACGTTTTGTTCTTAACATTACCATTTTGAATTAATAAAAAAACGAATAATAACGTTTTACTAACTGTTGCATACATAATAAAGTTTTAAATAACCTGTTGCAGAACAGGAAGTGACGTCACCGTCAACAGCACGCCCAGCAAGCCCTTGTGCTTCTTCCGTTTGGTCTCGTTTTGACACGGATGACTGAAAGGCGTTTTTGTCTACTGCAACGTTTCTGAGAGACACGAGCTGAGCTGTGGGGAGTAGAGGTCACGTCTGGTAGAGTTGTATCAACTTTGGGACATGTGCCAGGTACAAGGGCAACTCAACTTTTGGGACATGTGCCAGGTACAAGGGGCAACTCAACTTTTGGGACATGTGCCAGGTACAAGGGGAAACTCAACTTTTGGGACATGTGCCAGGTACAAGGGGCAACTCAACTTTTGGGACATGTGCCAGGTACAAGGGGCAACTCAACTTTTGGGACATGTGCCAGGTACAAGGGGAAACTCAACTTTTGGGACATGTGCCAGGTACAAGGGGCAACTCAACTTTTGGGACATGTGCCAGGTACAAGGGCAACTCAACTTTTGGGACATGTGCCAGGTACAAGGGGAAACTTAACTTTTGGGACATGTGCCAGGTACAAGGGGCAACTCTTGGGACATGTGCCAGGTACAAGGGGCAACTCAACTTTTGGGACATCGCCAGGTACAAGGGGCAAGTTAACTTTTGGGACATCGCCAGGTACAAGGGGAAACTCAACTTTTGGGGGCAATGCCAGGTACAATGTGCAACTTAACTTCTAGGACATTGCCAGGTACAAGGGGCAACTCAACTTTTGGGACATCGCCAGGTACAAGGGGTAACTCAACTTTTAGGACATCGCCAGGTACAAGGGGTAACTCAACTTTTAGGACATCGCCAGGTACAAGGGGCAACTCAACTTTTGGGACATTGCCAGGTAAAAGGGGCAACTCAACTTTTGGGACATGTGCCAGGTACAAGGGGAAACTCAACTTTTGGGACATGTGCCAAGTGCAAGGGGCAACTCAACTTTTAGGACATCGCCAGGTACAAGGGGCAACTCAACTTTTGGGACATGTGCCAGGTACAAGGGGCAACTCAACTTTTGGGACATGTGCCAGGTACAAGGGGCAACTCAACTTTTAGGACATCGCCAGGTACAAGGGGCAACTCAACTTTTGGGACATCGCCAGGTACAAGGGGCAAGTTAACTTTTGGGATATGTGCCAGATACCATGGGTCATTTAACGTTTACACATACGATGGGTACAGTGTTGTTTTTTAACGACAAACGAGCTAAAATGATTAATTAACATTTTTAAGTTTTAGAAATACTCAATTTATTGATCAGGTCAAAAACCCATAGATCTTTTTTCTAGTACCTCATTGTATGTGTCCCATAACGGGACGAAACCAAATTGTTCACGTGATGTGTCAGATATACACAGATTATAGCTGACTTCTACAGATATATATTACCATAGCTAACGTCTACAGATACACGCTGACCATAGCTGACGTCTACAGATACACATGACCATAGCTAACGTCTACAGATACACATGACTATAGCTGATGTCTACAGATACACATGACAATAGCTGACCTCTACAGATACACATGACCATAGCTGACGTCTACACATGACCATAGCTAACGTCTACAGATACACATGACCATAGCTGACGTCTACACATGACCATAGCTGACGTCTACAGATACACATGACCATAGCTGACGTCTACAGATACACATGACAATAGCTGACCTCTACAGATACACATGACCATAGCTGACGTCTACACATGACCATAGCTGACGTCTACAGATACACCCTGACCATAGCTGACGTCTACAGATACACATGACAATAGCTGACCTCTACAGATACACATGACCATAGCTGACGTCTACAGATACACATGACCCTAGCTGACGTCTACAGATACACCCCGACCATTGCGCAAAAAAACCATTCATTTCACGCGATCAAATTTGTGAAGTGAGAAATTCGGGGTCAGTGAATCTAGTCATGATTGGAAACGATTCAAACGCTTGAGGAATTTTATAAAAAGGAAATTTCATTAAGCAGTAGCAGGGCTTGGTATGGATTTGCTTCTAACTGGATAGTCTGACACGTAAGGTGCTTCAATTGTTATTTGCCTACTGTAAGACCAGAAATACAGAGAAAAATTCAAATAACAAAAATGTAAGAACACACGCACACACACACTATAATATGAATAAAAGTAAATGAATAAATAAAAAAATAAAATTAAAAATAAAATTAAATAAATAAATAAATAAATAAATAAATAAATAAATAAATAAATAAATAAATAAATAAATAAATAAATAAATATATATCTATCTATCTATCTATCTATCTATCTATCTATCTATCTATCTATCTATCTATCTATCTATATATATATATCTATATATATCTATCTATATATATATATATATATATATATATATATATATATATATATATATATATATATATATATATATATATATATGGGAGAGGGAAAAAAGAGAGAAGAAATGTTGTGTATAATGTGTAATGTGTATGTTTGTGTATGTATTACATAGTGTAATATGGACCAGGTCTGTTATATGTTGTACAAACGAGGACCCAACACAACTCAACTCACTCATATGTCGCCACAATTGGAGACAGCTCGAATATTCTCGAATCCTACCCCTATAAACATTCTCTATTGACATAAGAAAAGGTCTCTATCATGCAGGCTTATTTTTGTTTTTCTTTTTGTTTCAATTAAACTTATAAAAGAAATAAGCGTTTTTTTTCTGCCTGATTACATTTGACAGGAATGCATTAAATTTAATGTAATCAATCATAGTAATCGATCGTTTAACATTGGTTCGATCAATTAGTCTTGTTGAATATACTTCAATGTTCCTCAAATAAAAAATTATTTAATGGAATTTAATGGCGTTTCTATTTATGTAAACCTAGTATGTATTCCAGTAGGTTTGTATCTTCTAAGGCCGGTTATTACGTGAAGATGGGAAAAATTAAATGTGGTGTGGTTTATGTTAAAGCAAGTTTTTACGTTATGTCAGGAAAACTGACCTCTAGCGTGGTTTATGTTATGGCCGGTTATTACGTGAAGTTGGAACAAATTAAATGTGGCGTGGTTTATGTTAAAGCCAGTTTTTACGTTATGTCAGGAAAACTGACCTCTAGCGTGGTTTATGTTATGGCCGGTTATTACGTGACGTTAAAAGAATCGGGCTGACACCCCCCCCCCCCAACCTTTGGATGGTGTCACCTAGTGTAACCCAGTTGTTGAAATTTTGACTTATCAAAGGCGTTTCATAAAAGCTTGACAGACCAATGTTTTTAATGTAAGATGGACTCACCAAAGGTAAAGTTTTCGTCTCCTAAATACATCAGAGCTTTAAGGTCTATTGGCTGCTTCACCTGGTGACAAGACAGGCACAATTACAAAAACACATTTCGCTCTGATATGACAAACCAAACATGGACCTAGAGTTGAATTCATTCTTTTGTTTTTTCACTCAACTCCTGGTCATTGTATCTAACATGGCTGCAACAAACACACCGGCTGGACTCTTGACACCCCTTAACACCCCTGGTCACTCATTATACACATCTGAACACCCACTATACACCCCTTAACACCCACTATACACCCCTAAACACCCCATGTCACCCACTATACACCCTTTAACACTAGTTATACACCCCTTAACACCCCTGGTCGCTCATTCTACACCCCTGAACACCCACTATACACCCCTTAACACCCACTATACACCCCTAAACACCCCATGTCACCCACTATACACCCTTTAACACCCACTATACACCCCTTAACACCCCAAGTCATCCACTATACACCCCTTAACACCCCAAGTCATCCACTATACACCCCTTAACACCCACTATACACCCCTTAACACCCACTATACACCCCTTAACACCCCAATTCATCCACTATACACCCCTTAACACCCACTATACACCCCTTAACACCCACTATACACCCCTTAACACCCAATATACATCCCTTAACACCCACTATACACCCCTTAACACCCACTATACACCCCTTAACACCCCAATTCATCCACTATACACCCATTAACACCCCAAGTCATCCACTATACACCCCTTAACACCCACTATACACCCCTTAACATCCACTATACACCCCTTAACACCCCAAGTCATCCACTATACACCCCTTAACACCTACTATACACCCCTTAACACTCACTATACACCCCTTAACACCCACTATACACCTCTTAACACCCACTATACACCCCTGGTCATCCACTATACACCCCTTAACACCCACTATACACCCCTAAACACCCCATGTCACCCACTATACACCCCTTAACACCCACTATACACCCCTTAACACCCACTATACACCCCTTAACACCCCTAGTCACCCCCTATACACCCCTTAACACCCCCTATACACCCCTTAACACCCCTGGTTATCCCCTATACCCATCATACCACCCCACCAATAATGATACCCTAGTACCAGACTAGCCCTGTATTGACTAAACGAGAATCACATTAGACGCGGATCTGCTTGAACCTAAGATCCCAATCAAATTTCTCTGGAACATTGGCCCGATACCGTCCAATTATTAGCCTGTGTACTCAGAGCTCCCACCCCCCGAGGACGAGAAAAGCCAGACGAGCTAGTACCATGTGGCCTAGGGCCGCATATTTTCTCACGAAGGATCTAAATTCGTAACGTAATTTGTGTATGATAAAGGTCAAGGCATTTCAGGGCGGTATTTTTTATGAATATGTTTCATTTTTTTTTCATGTACTTTTTCTGCTACTCACAATTTCATCCATCTTAACCCAGTAGCTTTCACCATTGCCCTCCTTCCTTCCACTATCCCTTTTTTCCTCATATTAACTGTTAACTACCACTATCTCTTTTCCCTCTCACATCCTTCTTAACTCCACAACTTTACTCAACCTATCCCACTACACTCCCACTTTCCCACATTACTCCCAATATCCCACTTTATTCCAACTATAACACATTACTCCCACTCACCTCAACACCCATATTTCTTCTTTAACAGCACATACATTATGGAGCTGTTCAAAAGGTTGCCATACATATAATGCCAAATACAAAGTGCATCGATCGTTTAGAGGTCAAAAACACACGAGCGTAGATGAGAGTATTTGAGTAAAAACTAAGTTTGACTGACAGGGGGCGTACAACGTCCATAACCTCAGTCTTTAGAAATATTTTCAGAAATAAACAGTTCTAGATGCCATCAATCCAAGTGTTTGGTGTCATTCGGTGATTTTCGACAGACACACCTACTGCTTCATAGACTGCATGTTGTATGTGGACATTATGACGTGTCTACTGTGTTGTATGTGGACATTATGACGTGTCTACTGTGTTGTATGTGGACATTATGACGTGTCTACTGTGTTGTATGTGGACATTATGACGTGTCTACTGTGTTGTATGTGGACATTATGACGTGTCTACTGTGTTGTATGTGGACATTATGACGTATCTACTGTGTTGTATGTGGACATTATGACGTGTCTACTGTGTTGTATGTGGACATTATGACGTGTCTACTGTGTTGTATGTGGACATTATGACGTGTCTACTGTGTTGTATGTGGACATTATGACGTGTCTGTTCTATGTGGACATTATGACGTGTCTACTGTGTTGTATGTGGACATTATGACGTGTCTACTGTGTTGTATGTAGACATTATGACATGTCAACTGTGTTGTATGTAGACATTATGACGTGTCTACTGTGTTGTATGTGGACATTATGACGTGTCTACTGTGTTGTATGTGGACATTATGACGTGTCTACCGTGTTGTATGTGGACATTATGACGTGTCAACTGTGTTGTATGTGGACATTATGACGTGTCTACTGTGTTGTATGTGGACATTATGACGTGTCTACTGTGTTGTATGTGGACATTATGACGTGTCAACTGTGTTGTATGTGGACATTATGACGTGTCTACTGTGTTGTATGTGGACATTATGACGTGTCTACTGTGTTGTATGTGGACATTATGACGTGTCTACTGTATTGTATGTGGACATTATGACGTGTCTACTGTGTTGTATGTGGACATTATGACGTGTCAACTGTGTTGTATGTGGACATTATGACGTGTCATACTGTATTGTATGTGGACATTATGACGTGTCTTCAGTGTTGTGTCCGTACTATGCGCACTACGTACATGATTTATCTGAAATGCTAAAAACGACTCACATGAATAAATTTGAGGGTGGAGTGTTCCCTTGACCTAACCGCGCCGACCACCACCAAGGTCAAGGCTACAATAGTCAGAAGTATCCCCAGCCCTAGAACAGCCCCCTGCCTCCAGCGACAGTTGAGTTTCGGCAGTCTTTGGTGTACCAGATACAGCGACCTCTTGCCTGGATGGTTAGATAGAGGACAGGGGAATTAATCACATGATAAATAACAAGAAATATCATTAGCACATGGACACTTAAAATAACTTTAAGCAGGTAATTTTAGTATTAGTCGAAGAACAATTAAAACGTCTTTATGTATATTCTTGCCTAATTACATTTGAACATGTTTTAAAATTATTCTTCTCCTTATAAGAAATCTATTGAAGTGAGCAGGTATGTCTCTATCCTCTAGTCGGTTCTAAGAAATTTATTGAAGTGAGCAGTTATATCTCTATCCTGTAGCAGGTTTTAAGAAATCTATTGAAGTGAGCAGGTATGTCTCTATCCTCTAGTCGGTTCTAAGAAATTTATTGAAGTGAGCAGTTATGTCAACTTGTATTATAGCTAACACGTACGTCCATACCATGATTAAAAGGTTGGAAATCTGCAATACAACTGATTGACCTTTGCTCGCCTCCTATCTACCTGTACCGTAGCAGACTTTAGATCTAGTCAAACCTGTCAGTTTGGCGTTGCAAAATGTGTTAATATTTGATTGATGCTTGATGGTCTGTGTATTAGTTTTGCAGACTGTTTGTATTTGATTTCATGCTTGAAATAGTCTGTTTGACTTTGCAGTCAGTTTGTTTATGTCTGATTTCATGCTAAAATGGTCTGTCTGTTTGGTTTATTCTAAGACTCTCGAATCGTTTAACAAACAATCGATACTAATCAATAGCTAATGAGGATATAGAACAGCACTAATGTCAGATCGATTCCCACTCTCTGATCGATGGGAGCAAATGAAATAAGTTGTAGTTACCTCCCTGCGATCGAGACTCATTGATTCACCATCAGATGGAGGAAGAAATGGCTTCTAATTGGACGGCCATTCCAGAGGTAACGAGACGGTCGTTTAGAGAGCTATACATTGATGGGGTAGCTGGTTCATACAGGGGGATTGTTGACTTAGTGATTGTTGACTTAGTGATTGTTGACTTTTATGACTGCTGACTTAGTGATTGTTGACTTAGTGATTGTTGACTTAGTGATTGTGACTTAGGGGTCATCCATAAATGACGTCACGCTTTTTTTGACGATTTTTACCTCCCCCCCTCCCCTCCGTCACACGTCGTCACAAAAAGTCAGACCCCCCCCCTAAAATGACGTCACACCTCAACCTACAACCCCCCTCAAAATTGCAGTTGAATTTTTTTAAAACATCGATATTTTTCCAAAATCTTGTCTAAACTATTACAATTTATTAAAACAGTTATCTAAAACGCGAAATAACGTCTAAAATTCGTTTTCTAACATTGCTTTTTTATAATGCAAAAATGTGACGTCGCAACATCTGAACCCCCCCCCCCCCCTCCCCCTAATCACACATCGTCACAAAATTACGGACCCCCCCTCCCCCCTACGAGTGTGACGTCATTTATGGATGACCCCTTAGTGATTGTTGACTTAGTGATTGTGACTTAGTGATTGTAGACTTTATTGACTTAGTGATTTTTTTCCAGTGGTCGTTATATTCAAGTACTGACCAGTGGTAGTTACACTGAAGTTGTGGTCAGTTCAAAACGTCACTACAAACAGATAGTTACCGTGTAAAGGCCGGCTGGCAGTCAGACCGTTTTCGCTGGACAGAACAGCTACGTCATCTCGCCTTTCCTCTTCCGTCGTGACGTCATCGGGGTGTGAAGCCTCACAAAGCGGCCGTTGGGCAAAATCGTTGTCTAAAGACTTCATGACACGTCAGTCATTGTGGAGGTTGTTTTTTTTTATTATTTCGTCACCTGCAGTCATATAAAACAGTGACATATTTGATTTTAACACATGATGTCATATAAAACAGTGACAGATTTGATTTTATCACATGATGTCATATAAAACAGTGACGTATTTGATTTTATCACATGATGTCATATAAAACAGTGACAGATTTGATTTTATCACATGATGTCATATAAAACAGTGACAGATTTGATTTTATCTCATGATGTCATATAAAACAGTGACATATTTGATTTTATCACATGATGTCATATAAAACAGTGACATATTTGATTTTATCACATGATGTCATATAAAACAGTGACGTATTTGATTTTATCACAGCTTAAAGTTTTACTGTCACCTGGTTGACCTATGCAGCTGTACCGACATACAACCTGTCAGGTAAAAAATTTCACTACAACGGAATCTTTTGGCTATCAGTTCAGTTAGTTAAAACCTTCTGGTTGAAGCAGCGATCGAATTTACACTAGATCTAATTTTGTTCATGTCATCACCTTGGTGTATGTGTAATAAGACGTGACACGACACGTGATCTGTTAGTATGTGTGTAACACGACGTGACACCTTACGTGATGTGGTTGGTATGTGTGTAACACGACGTGACTCTTTATGTGATCTTTTTGTATGTGTGTAACACGACGTGACACCTTACGTGATGTAGTTGGTATGTGTGTAACACGACGTGACTCTTTATGTGATGTGGTTGGTATGTGTGTAACACGACGTGAAACGTCACGTGATGTGGTTGGTATGTGTGTAACACGACGTGACACGTTACGTGATGTAGTTGGTATGTGTGTAACACGACGTGACGCTTTATGTGATGTGGTTGGTATGTGTGTAACACGACGTGAAACGTCACGTGATGTGGTTGGTATGTGTGTAACACGACGTGACACGTTACGTGATGTAGTTGGTATGTGTGTAACACGACGTGACTCTTTATGTGATGTGGTTGGTATGTGTGTAACACGACGTGACACCTTACGTGATGTAGTTGGTATGTGTGTAACACGACGTGACTCTTTATGTGATGTGGTTGGTATGTGTGTAACACGACGTGACACCTTACGTGATGTAGTTGGTATGTGTGTAACACGACGTGACACCTTACGTGATGTAGTTGGTATGTGTGTAACACGACGTGACTCTTTATGTGATGTGGTTGGTATGTGTGTAACACGACGTGACACGTCACGTGATGTGGTTGGTATGTGTGTAACACGACGTGACTCTTTATGTGATGTGGTTGGTATGTGTGTAACACGACGTGTCACGTCACGTGATGTGGTTGGTATGTGTGTAACACGACGTGACACGTCACGTGATGTGGTTGGTATGTGTGTAACATGACGTGACACCTTACGTGACACCTTACGTGATGTGGTTGGTATGTGTGTAACACGACGTGACACCTTACGTGATGTGGTTGGTATGTGTGTAACACGACGTGACACGTTACATGATGTGGTTGGTATGTGTAACACGACGTGATAAGTTACATGATGTGGTTGGTATGTGTGTAACACGACGTGACACGTCACGTGATGTGGTTGGTATGTGTGTAACACGACGTGACACGTCACGTGATGTGGTTGGTATGTGTGTAACACGACGTGACTCGTTATGTGATGTGGTTGGTATGTGTGTAACACGACGTGACACGTCACGTGATCTGTTGGTATGTGTGTAACACGACGTGACACGTCACGTGATCTGTTGGTATGTGTGTAACACGACGTGACATGTCACGTGATCTGTTGGTATGTGTGTAACACGACGTGACACGTTACATGATGTAGTTGGTATGTGTGTAACACGACGTGACACGTTACATGATGTAGTTGGTATGTGTGTAACACGACGTAACATGTCATCTGATGTGGTTGGTATGTGTGTAACACGACGTGACACCTTACGTGATGTAGTTGGTATGTGTGTAACACGACGTGACACCTTACGTGATGTAGTTGGTATGTGTGTAACACGACGTGACTCGTTACGTGATCTGTTGGTTTTTGTGAAACACGACGTGACTCGTTATGTGATGTAGTTGGTATGTGTGTAATACGACGTGACACGTCACGTGATCTGTTGGTATGTTTATAATGAGATGTCACAAGCCTCTAGTTTGTAGTATTTATAAATATTTATAGCTATCGACTTCAGACTGACAGGTACAAATCAATTATTTAAAATTTCAGATTATACGCTGTACAGAACAAACACTGAACTTTAAACTGTAGCAGGGAAAATATCAAGTCAAACACGACACAAAAATGTTATTTTCATTCGAGTCATTCTATGAGCATTATTTAATACAGTTTTAAAAAGTTGACAGTACAACAATATTTCACAAGACTTTAAAGTGTGCACCCGCGTGTCTATAAAACGACCAAGATAAAATTAGGTTACTAAAAATGTAATTTTCATCAATGGCGATGAACGTGTCATTTTATTTGAGCCGTCGAGTTTTTCGGTTACAATTTAAAGTATTTTAAGTGACACAATAATCAATAGAGCAATCATTCTGGGGCATTATGCCGGAGCAATTATATCTCCAGCATGGGGGAGATGGGGAGCTAGACGGCTGTTACCGCCATTATTTCGGTTGTTAGACCAAACTAAACAAATGCGAATCATTGATTTACCCTCGGTTAAAAGGTTTTCTACTTGGTGACTGTGAACATTCGTGAATTATCCAAAGGGCAATCATCTCTTCTTCCAGCAGTATGAAAAACATTTTATCAAGTTCATACAAAGTTCTAAAAGTACCTACAGCATAAACAGGTGTCGGTTATGGTGGAGGGTGGGGGAGAGGGAGGAGAGTAATACAAGACCAACATTAGTCATTAAGATCACGTGCCTGTCTTATAACAGGTTGTCAAAAGGCCGACTGTCAAAAGGCCGACTTCCAAAAGGCCGACAATCAAAAGGCCGACTGTCAAAAGGCCGACTTCCAAAAGGCCGACTGTCAAAAGGCTGACTGTTAAAAAGGCCGACTGCCAAAAGGCCGACTGTCCTTAACTAGCTCTACAAGTGTAGGCCAATCACAATGAAGCGTTCCTAATTAACTTGGACAAGACGCTTCTAGAAAAAACCTAAGCATTATCCACAAAAGAGTGACGTGTTTAGATCAAGAAAGGGATTAACAGGTGTTTTGTTAGCTAAATCACATGGTGTTGGTGTAAAATATTTTAATAGTTACATGGTGTTGGTGTAATGCATTTGTTAGTTACATGGTGTTAGTTTGATAGATTGTGTTAGTTACATGGTGTTTATGTAATGGAGTTTGTTAGTTATATTGTGTTAGTGTAATAGACTTTGTTACTACATGGTGTTGGTGTAATTGATGTTGTTAGTTACATGGTGTTGGTGTAAATTCTTTTACTAGTTACAGGGTGTTGGTGTAATAGAGTTTGTTAGTTACGTTAGTTAGATAGTGTTAGTATAATAGATGTTCAAAGGGGTAAAATTCAAGAAAAAATTAACGCTCATGGAAATGGTTAAGAAAACAAACTGTTTTTGGCTGAAATTGAACCTTCTAGACACAGTAATTTTTAATTAACTCATTCAGTGTTGCATTGGTGGGAAAGAAGATGTGATTCTCTACCTGAATGTTAAATTGTTGATTTACGAAAACAAGACCTTTACTGTCGTCTGTTAAATTGTTGATTTACGTAGACAAGATCTTTACTGTCGTCTGTTAAATTGTTGATTTACGTAGACAAGATCTTTACTGTCGTCTGTTAAATTGTTGATTTACGAAAATAAGATCTTTACTGTCGTCTGTTAAATTGTTGATTTACGAAAACAAGATCTTTACTGTCGTCTGTTAAATTGTTGATTTACGAAAACAAGATCTTTACTGTCGTCTGTTAAATTGGTCTTAGATGTAAATTATGATCAATACTCTTCTGTTGTGTCTGGTATGGATTAATAAGTAAAATAATCGATAACTAAAACATGAAGCGTTGTTCAATCGATGACTGAATCCTGATATAGAAGGCTCAGGGGTATCATTGTCATTGAGCTAACAGCCGGTAATCAATGAAAGCATGATCGATACGTCAGAGAATAGTGCATCCTGTAAGTGGTGAAACCACATGTGGAAACATGCGATATCAACCACAACCACACGTGGAAACACTAGATATCAACTAACACTATAACCACATTTGTTAGCACCCTTGACTATTACATACATGTATGTAGGCGCCATGAGAAACCACATACAGATCTGGATATGGCAAAACCTTCATAAGTATTTGATTTTACTTTTTCTTTACATTAATTCCACTTTAAAATCTGAAAAAATTTAAGAATTTTCCCATTGCTAAATAATTTGAGAAAAAAAGTTTTAAAACATTAAGATTTGTGCAATTAAAGCAAGCTATCTAAATTGTGTTTCCTTTCGTTGCATGTTTTTATTTGTTTGACAATTTTGTTAACTAAGATCGTTGACGCAACTCGTCTAGAATTATATCAAGATGAAGTAATTTTTCAAGAACATTCACAACATCACAGTCACAACATCACAGTCACAACGTCATAGTCACAATATCAGTCAGAACATAAGTTACAACATCACAGCCACAACATCACAGTCAGAATATCCGTCACAACATCACAGTCACAATATCACAGTCACAACATCACAGTTACAACATCACAGTCACAACATCACAGTCACAACATCACAGTCACAACATGACAGTTACGACATCACAGTCACAACATCACAGTCAGAACATTAGTCATAACATCACAGGCACAACATCACAGTCACAACATCAGTCACAAAATCACAGTCACAACATCACAGTTACAACATCACAGTCACAACATCACAGTTACAACATCACAGTCACAACATCACAGTCACAACATCACAGTCACAACATCACAGTTACAACATCACAGTCACAACATCACAGTCACAACATCACAGTTACAACATCACAGTCACAACACCACAGTCACAACATCACAGTCACAA